CATCCTTCGTCAGTCGTGTAGAAAAGGTCCTATTTTTAAACAATTGTAGTTTAAACGCCATAGGGTGGATAAACAAAGAGGTTGTGAATCCTAACGAAGAGCTGACGGCGGCGTCGATCAAAGACTTCCTATTAAAGGGAACACGAGCCCTACCTTAGGACCTTTGTACTTTTTGCTTTTGATTTATGTTTCTTTGAATCATAAATACGTGAATGTAAATAATTATTTTTTAGCTTTTTTATACGGCGAAAATTATTACGCTGTTTAATACATAACAGCGTAAATGATTTTTTCGTAAATGCGTTGATAAACAGAGATATGTGTTTTATAGCTGTATTAAATCAAAGTCTTGTGCTTATTAAACGATTGATAGTTCGCCAAATGTTAAGTAATCATTGCATCTGAACTACGCCAGTAAAACTATCTTTTTTTTTACCTACACTGCCCAGAAATTTAAAAAAAACAATAATTAAGAACAAAGAACAGAAATGAGAGATTCTATAGTCTATATTAGTTCAACAAACTTTACAATATGATACCTAAGTTGAAAAGAAAAAATCAATAAACAATTTATTTTTTTACATGACTATAGCGGCGACTCATAGAAATAGCGACCAGTCTTAAGGCGTAATCACTTAGTGGAAAAGGATCTTAATATCACTCGCCTAATAATATTCTTTCGTGGCAGGACAGGGAAACTCCACTACCCTACCAATGTGTGCGGGCCGCTGTTCGAGGAGGAGCTGGAATTCTGGGGGCTGGACTCTAACCAGGTGGAGCCGTGCTGCTGGTCAACATACAGTATACACAGAGATACACAGGTGAGTACAGCTTGCGCTCATTTGATTAGTTCTCCATGCTAAGTTGATCCCTATTTTATATGGTGCACCAAACAAATCTGAGGTCAACATACAATGAATTTAAACGATTGTTACTGTTTGTTCCTGGAATAAGTTTTTGTTTATGCTTTTATTGATATGAAATTAGTATTAAATAGTAAGTGAATCTTACCAAATTGCGATAGTGAAAATAGCACTCAAATCGGTTAAGCTAATTTTGACAGTAACGAGCACGAACTCACAGATAAGCCGACAAACAGTGACAAATTCCATGTAGGGACAGTGATAAGGTTAATTTTTATTATATTTTATACAGATTAGGAGTTATATAGTAATAACAAATAAGGAAATGTTTCTTAAGTAATATATCTTACTATATTATTATAAATGCGAATGTTTGGACGAATGGTTGGATTTTTGTCAGAAAGTATCATCAAAACGGCTGCATGGATCTCGCTGAAATTGGCATAGATGTAAAACAAATTTTGGAGGAACACATTGGCTACTTGTTAAAAAAATTTAATTCCGCGTGAACGGAGTTGGAGACGACAGCTAGGAACTATATAAAAGGTAACTTGGGTAAAAAATATGTTTAAGTTATTTTATAGGATTGATTTTAATATTTAGCGGAACCACGTTATATCAGAACTGTTGAGTTAACGTCAAAACGTAATCCAAAAGTCGAAAACAAAATCTCGAAGAGCTCGTAATTGGCTTATGTCATTTTAATATAAACGTTGAGTGAAGGAGACAGCTTTGAGATTAGATTTGGAAATACTTTCCGAACAGACGTAACAACGAGGTGTTTATAATAATCATTGTTTATCCCTAAGTCCCACCACTGGGCAAATTTTTATTAAACTTTATTAGGATGCTCAATGTTGCTTGTACTAAGGCGTTATTGTGGTGTCGTATAGTTGCATTTTTAAGTCATTTTGCAGCAAAACTAGACAAAAATGTTGCTTTTGGCATGTGGGTTTAGCTAGGCAGGATATTATTAAGGGAAAAGTAAAAATAACAGTTGCTTTGATGATTATGATTTACATTCATTGCTTATTATTTATTCATCATCAGCTCACTATACATCCCCACCAAGGGGCTCGGAGCATACCCTAAATCAAGGGTAACTAGGCCATAGTCAACCACGCTGGCCCAGTACGGGTTGGTTGACTTCACACATATCATTGAATTTCTTCTCAGATATGTGCATCACTGTGTTTTCCTTCACCGTAAAATCGTTGAATAAATGTACATATGTTAATCGGAAATCGAAAAACACATTGGTACAAGGCGGGATTCGAACCCAGGACCTGCAGATTGCAAGTCAAGTGCTTGACCCCTGAGCCACCGACGCTGTTATTATTTATTGCCTCAGTCTATTTTGTAGTAACTATTTAATTTTAGCCAATATGTGCTTGTTGTACAAAAAAGGTTAAGTATAAATATAAAAAAAGAAATATTGAATATTGCGTTATGAACTTGAAACACTAAAGTATAAAAGCGCTGTTAAATAAAAACGCCAACGAAAAAATCTAAAGAACAGTTCAAGGCTGAAAAACTTTTACGAGATTTGCAATAAACTACAGGGGCGGACTTAAAACTTAATGATTTAGCATTTTTTATTTCGTATTTTAATTTTCATATTTTTAATTTATAAGATCTATAAAACGTAACTTTTTTATTAAAACTTTAAACGTGAACATTTAAACATATAAAAAATTTACATTCAAATTATTTATTTATTAAATAGTCACATTTTAAAGGTCTCCTAAAGCTTTATGGAGCGATTGCTCTACGCGTAAACGTCAATATTACGAGACAGATTAAATTATAATGTCATATATAGTTATTACTCAGTTACTATCTCGATAGTACTAATTGATACCTAACCAAGCGCAGTCCGTCCCGCCGTAACGTCGGGTCGTGTTGGGCTACCCTTATTCTGTTGTAATTAATCTGTTATTAACATAATATACCGATAGAGGGCGCTAATTGCATAAGTACGTTGTAAATGATATTTATCTTAATGGTTAAGATAAGAATTTGTTTTTATAATTATGAGTAACGATGTTATAATTAAAAAAAGTTTTTTATTCTCTTTTAATTCCTAACTAGCTGTCGCCCGCGACTCCGTCAGCGCGGAATTACAAAAACTATTAGTCGTAGCGTAATCTTATATAGCCTAAAGCCATCCTCTATAAATGGACTATCCAACAAAAGAAAAATCTTTCAAATCGGACCAGTTGTTCCTGAGATGTACGTTAAACAAACTCTTCCGCTTTCTAATATTAGTAGAGATTTGTGACTGTGTCCACTATCCGAACGCCTAGTCAACATGATTTGCAATTACAATCCACAATTAAAATAATATATTACCATTTGTATGAAACTGTAAACACAGCTATTTATGTTAGTAGGTAAGCGAAAACGACGTAAAACTTTGAACTTATGCAGACTAGATTACTATAGTATCACAAAGGGAATAGAACACCAAGATGGATAAGTACTGAAATGCATTTTGCGTGTTCTAAAAATTAAAAAAAAAACTGTAAGATTCAGTGCAAATTACTGTAAAGAAAGGTTAAGTATAACATTACAAAAATACATTCGTATTTCTATGTGGAAATGATATTTTAGTTTTTAAATATCAATATGAAGATTAATTCCTTGAAATATTAAGTCAGCTCTAACTATTGAGCGGAGTTCCAAAGTTTATGTTTATTCAAAGTAGTTGATCCCCTAATTTATCGTTTAATTAACATATATCCGGTGTTGACTAATTCCGCATTTCCGGTTTCTGAATTACAAATCATTCATTTGTATTCTGTTTGAAATCATACACTAAACTAATTATGTGGTAAGCCTCGTGTACATAATAATTTAGTTCATGTTATATGATTATTAATCCGATTTAATATGTGCATGAATTAAACATTATAGCTCAATATCTGTTGAATTTATTTGAAAGTATCACGCTTCTACTTTCTTTGACCTTACAAATATTGAAGTAAAAAATCGAGACAAATATGGCGCTATGAAGGCTTAGTTTAGTAGTGTTTAATCTCCGGAGTAAACCGTGACTCGAAATTTTTAGTAACCAAATCTCAGCTAATTAGTATTTCACTAATGAGGAGGGAGTTCTACGAACATTAACACTTCTTTAATGGTTTATACGTAAATAATCGTATCACACAATTTAGATCTGTGGTTATTAAATTAATTTAATAATTATTACTTGCTTTGTAAATTTTAAAATAACGTAAGAAAGAAAAAAAACTATTGATTTTGTTTGTCTAAATGTCTTTATTAATCGTAATAATGTTTAAAGTTTTGTCTTCCAAAACTTGTGTTTCAAGGATACGATAATTTACGTAAAACTCATTGAGGTGTTTATTCGAGTATTATAAGTACTTATATATAAAATTATCTTTATTTTCTATTTATAACTTTACTTATTTTTAATTAAAAAAAAATATATTAAATAATGTTTTTGTGAACTCTACATTGTTATCAAAACCCACTAAATATATGTATATAATGCTATATATTATGTTAGTTACATCAATTACGTAGTAGTTCCGTTTCTCGTTGCTTAGTTAACGTGCCACCAACCTCTGCTAATGAATGCATTTCCACCATCTAACTACTAATTGAAGACAACCGCTCTCTCATTTGCTTACCTAATGGGAAAAGGTTCACTGCTGTTTGTAAGTTATTTCTGATGATTGCAGTTAAATGGTTGTTAATGTCATACTCACAGATAATAAGTAAATACTAATGTATATTGAAGTGTACATTTTGTTAAGAAATCTATGCTAAGCGACTGTTTAATAACCAAAATTTTATCAGCGGTAGAACCCGCTTTAACATCTTCGCATGAATTGTCCCGGCTCGCCCTGTGAAAGACAGTCGTGAAGTGGAAACAATTCCGTGTTTCGTCTAAAGAGCGTGCGTCCCGAAGGCCTAATTTAGTCCTCTGTCCCTTTCCACCCTTTTTCCTATAAGGAAAGGATGGGAAGTGGAAGTTGACTTTCCGGATGTGAATATCCATGGTAAGGGGAAATATTTCTGTGCATCCTCTCCTCCGTCGATTAAAGGTAGGGAGGTATAGGCAACGGTCACTTCGTTATTTCAGCGATTTCAGGTTACCGCTCGCTCGTTTGCCACCTTATGATATAAAAAAACGTTTTTCCCTGTTAACAATTGTTAACACAAAAAACCAATATCAATGCAATGTGTAGAAATATAAACAAATGCAAATGACAGCGGCTAGTAAACAACACTTTACCGACTTAATTATTATTGTTAATATAATTACAATGGGTTTTGTTTTACATCTCGCGACGTATAAATGAAAAAAACAAGCTAAAATAAAACAGTCATTTTGACGTGTACATAGTCTGAACATTGTATAAATAAAAAGGTTTTACATAACCATTTCTATTCTAACATTTGTAGCAATAATGAAAAAGCTCATTTGGAACATTTTTTTCAATACCATTTATGAGAAATAGCGGAATAATAAAAGCATGAAAATGTAGGCCAGTTTCCGGTAGCATTAGTAATGTGAATTTTTATATTTTCATGTTGAACAGATGTTTAGCTGTTCGTATATTCATATAACTAGAGCATAATAATGTATGAAACAATAATTAAATCACGCTATTTACAATCAATAAATCCAAAGTTTTATAAATTAAGTTTATTATATAATATAATTAGAATACTTATAGCGAATTTAACGTGTTTGAAACTGTTAAGAGTATAATGAGAAACTCGTTAACCAGTTAACGTCGAGTCTGGAATAATTGCGACGACATAAACTTGCTACAAACACGATTATTGCTTTAAGACTACGACCTTGTTCCTAAATACAACAACAAACAACATTCACATTTTAAAATAAACATCAATATATTGGAAATAGTATTACAAACTATCTTACATATATACTAAATATGACCATACTGGCTGTCGCCCGC